AACAACAATATATTTCACATTGTAATACTTTATAGAAATTTTGCTTGTAATTCTCGAGTACAAAGTCAAGATAAACGATATTCTATCAATAATTCCATATACATGATTCTTCTTGAATTGGATTTGATCGTAACATGTTATTTTCCGGGTTTTAATCAAGTGAAGAAGAACCAAGTTTGAGTTGTGGAGAGTTGGAGTCAACTTGTAAAATGGTGAAAGGGATCAAATGTTCTTCTTTTTTTCTAGCTATAATATCTTTATGCGGTGAAAATGTTCTAAGGTTAAGAATATAGACAAGGTTAAGATAGGCTAAGTATCTTTACTTGCCCTTCATCATCAGCTTTGACTAAAAGCAAAATTTTCGTGAGTTTAAAAAACCCTCCAAGTGTAAATGTCCATTGTATAAAGTAAAGCACCAGCTTTACTTTTCTTCCAAACGATCTTAACGCCAATGATATATACCTTCATTATATAATGATAAAAGCATAATTGTCTATAAAATATAGATTCAAGTTTCCTAAAATTAACAAACCAAATCCCAATGGAAACCATCAACACTTTTCATCCTAAACACTTAATTGAAGAGTCTGGTCCACATCCCAAAAATAATGAACCAATATGCATTATTTGCGGAACGAAATTCTCTTTTCAGTCCATAAATTTTTATTGTCGTATATGTCATTCCCATTTTCACAAAGAATGTGTGGTTGATTTGATGGAGTCGAAGCTCACGATAAACCGTCCAGAGACACATGAGCATACGCTCACCATCATTCGCAAGAAGAACTCTTTCAACTGTGATGCTTGCGGGAGGGTTGAGGAAGACAAGATGAATATGTACGCATGTTTGCAATGCAATTTCTTTGTTCATAAAGATTGTCTTTATTTACCAAAGGCTATAAAGCTCACCTGTCACTCACACCGCTTGTTTCATACTTTTCAAGTTTCCGATCGGAACACGAAATGTCAAATTTGTAATTACCCGTTTGTTTATGGATGTGGAGGATATATTTGTCGTGACAAGACATGTGATTATAAACTCCACTCATATTGTGCAACGGATACAAAGGTATGGGATGGTATAGACGTCGAAAATGAACCGGAAGAAATGAGTACTTCTATAGAGATTACATTGGAGGAGGTAGATGGCAACATCGTCCGCCATTTTAGTCATCACCATGACCTAATGAGACTATGCGTCAATAACGAAGAAAAAGATGGACGTGTATGTCAAGCATGCATACTTCCTATCGACTTTGATGGTTTCTTGGCTTGTCAAGAATGTGATTTTGCACTCCATGAGACTTGTGCAAGTCTACCTCGGAATTTGGGACACGCGTCACACCGACATCCGCTAACCCTAAAGGTGAACATGATGAAGAGCAAACAAGGTTTTTTTAGTTGCTCTAAATGTAAACGAGAATCTTGTGGTTTCATGTATCAGTGCAGCCACAAGGAATGTGAGTTTAAAATGGATGCAAAATGTGCTTCCCTTGCTCTTTCTAATCCATTATACAATGGAGCTCACCAACACCCTCTCACTCTATCAGGCAATGGGGTAAAATGTCACGAATGCTACTTATTCTTGGAGCTCAATCGCGCAACTTTACCAGTATTGGTCAAATACAAGCATGATACTCACCCACTTGCCCTGTGTTATTCTACATCAAGCTTACACGACAATGGGAATGAACTTAGATTGTCAGGATTGTCGTTGTGGTGTGAAATCTGCGAAGTAGAGATAAACCCGGATTGTCAAGATCTCTACGGCTGCGCTGAGTGCAACACCACTCTACATGTTGAGTGCCTAATAGGGAAATATCCATATCTTAAGCCAGGCCATACGATCAAAGTGAATGGTACTGAGATTGAGATTGTATCCAACAGTCTTTCTCGGCCGATATGCGATGAATGTCATCGTATCTGCCAAGACAAACTGTTTTTCAAGAAGAAGAGACTGGTTTTCAAGAATAAGAGAAATGTTGTCTCTTTATGTTCTATCAACTGTATATTTGGAAAGCTATCACTATCACGCATTGATAGGATATTGCAGAAGATTGAAAGGATCCTAAAGGTGATGAAGGAATTTGAGAAAAAAATTGAGGAAATCGCAGAGAAAATAAGAGAAATCACAGATGAAGAAAATGAGGAAAGTGGTAGTGATGAGGAATGACGTACGTAGTTCTCCAAAATACTTTC